TAACACGTGATCCCAAGTCCAGGAATTGACCCCAAGACCCCAGAGATAAGAGCGGCGAGTGCACCACTACGCCACCTTTGATACCCAATCCTACAAAGACTACGAGGTAAAATATTATACTAACCTCTGCTCTTAGTTGTACAAGTCACAGGCTCACTTGCTGCCCCAGCGCCTTCCAACGTTACTGCAGTAACCGTTAAGTTATACCTGGTTTCAGGAAGGAGATCTTTTACCGTATAGAACAAATTTCCCGAATTTAGCTYGATGGATTCTGTGGTTCCAGTTTCAGTGTTTGTAACATTGAGTTCATACTCCGACAGGATACCACCGTCCGGTTCCKCTTGAGGGCAACTCCAGCTCAGCGATGCGGTTGTTACACCACTAGAAACGGAAAGCTGACAAGGTGTAGAATAAACTACAAAGAAAAGACAATGAAATAAGGGACGGACCATTTGATTTTTGATAAGAGGGGACAAACCCCCACCCCCCTTAAAAAATATCGAGTAAGTTCGACTTTAGAAGTTACAATATCGAGCTTCCAATATAAAATATTCTATGACCTGTGCAGCTGAAACAAAATCGAGCACACCAAAAATTCGTGCCCCCTAATAAAAAATCAAATGTTATTTTCAATGAGATTATTACTTATACTACCCAAGTGACTTAGTTATCCAATCGTAATAGACTACTCTCAAAACTACCTTGGATGCGAGGCAAACAGAAAAAAAAAAAAAAAAGAAAAGAAATGACACAAGAATTCCATTAAGAAAAAGTGTGATTATTTCGTATTTTACTGTTAAACTCGCATTCCTTTATCATAATTCAAGGCGCTATGCGATTAGACAAGTAACGGTGCTTGAAAAGCTTCGCATTCAGTCATTAGCAGGATCAAAAATAAAAGCCTACCGGTTTGCAAGTTCAAAATAAGAACATCYGTTACAGGAAGTGCAGATATAGTTTTTGCAATCTTCAGTCGTTCCATTAAAGGTTTTGCTACGCTGTATCCGGACATGCCATAGTACACGATAGACACTGAAGCCTCGGTACCACTGTTGTCCGTAAGAGGACTGCCCAGAAAGAAAACGCACACATGTGAGATATTTAAGGGAGAAAAAATTATCGTGGTGCAGAGGGATTAAGAAATTTGTATTTATGTCATTTGCAGTARCCTGAAAACGCGCGCGCGTGCTATGTGCAGTGATACAGCACGYGGATGAGCAGGAAACGCGAGAAGTCTTAGTRCAAGCACAACTCTTAGCTAGTGGCTAAGCCAATTACTCCCTTTAGCCCAAGTTACATGAAGGCCCAAGTTATATTTCGTTATCTTCCCCCAGAGTACATAGTTCCTAGCATAACGGTTACCTTACTCTAAACTAACACTTGGTTTTGGTCAGTGTTTCCAGGGGAAAACAACAGGACTTGTTTCTACCACCAGGGTCATCATGCCTTCATGTAAAAGCTACCTCACTRCATACGACATAGAGGACTTACCTCAACAGACAGTTTTCGATGATAACTTTGGATGCTAATTCCGCACTTAAAAGGCCTTTTACCTGGCAAAAGAAAAAAATGCTCTTACTTATATTTCAAATTCGTGTTCTGTCATATCGTTGCACGACTACTTTTATTTTGGATTATTCATGTTTGGAGACAAATACCCCATAGATGAATATCATAGTACTGTGCATATTGTCACAGTATCTTGTTTGCTTGATAAATTTGAGCGGCTGAGAGACTGCATGTGGTCTCGAAGCAATTCAAATGCGCTTTTTAAAGAAAAGAGTTAAATAGCCGTGYATGGTTACGTCATATACACTTTCTTATGTGTCAGCTTCCTACTACCAAATGCAAATAATTCTGAAAGCTGTAGTAAAATGACGCCATTAAACGATAAGAGCTATACACTATAACAGCTTTTTGGTAACTTCATTTTTTCTAAAACAYTTCCGGGTCCAAAATAAAGAGCTTATTTTCTCCCTGACGGATTTGTTGTAAGAAGAAAGGTTTCAGGTTCGTGTAGATTAAATCATTGGTAATATATATATACATATAATATATATATATTGCTTCATTTTAGCGTCTTTCACAAGCAAACGAACCAAGAATTACGCCATAACTTAAAAGCAGAAACTATCAAAAACTATATGGATTAAAAATCCCATCACCTACCCCTGCTTGGACTTGGTGGCACATTCTTTTGTAGGCATTAAGTTCTTTATCAGCACTTTGCAATATCGATGATGTTTTGAATTTGTAATCCAGTGTCATGTTCTTTCTCCCTGAATTAAAAATGAAAAAGGTACTTATTGATCTCCACTATACCGTTAATCCCGAGATCAAGCTGTGAGCAGATTAATAGACGGTTTTTCAATTTGCCAAATACCGCTGTTTTCCTTGATTACATACCCAGGGTTACCCAGCTCATTTCAGCGTCGCAATACTCACAAATACCAACAGTAAAGTAAAGAATGCAGAACTTCAACAATACAAACATTTTGAAAGTCAACGGAGCTTTACTCATCCTTGGGAACCCAGGGGTAAATTTTCAGCTTCTCGGATGAGCTTTACTGGAATGAATAATATTCTACACAAAATCGAGGCTAATCCTGAGCAACAGAGAGTTCGAAACCGGTGCATTTACTTAAAACATCACAATATTTCTATTTCTATTTTCAATTGCTATTGCTATTTCTGGTGCTAGTGCTAGTGCTAGTGCTAGTGCTAGTGCTATTCTCTTGATTTTTTCTATCTGAACTTGAATGAACGATGACCCTAAATGTTAATGACCCTTTCTTAGATTTCTACGATCCTGCCCACTCTGCACCACACACATACACTCAGTGCAAATCATCACCTTTATAGAAATCGTAAAGGCTTTCGACTAGCTTCAGATCCAACTGCTTTGGCCAAACAATGAAATCATCCACATCGACTGCTGCTCCTCTGCCAATCACAACACCTCCAGCGGTATTGGCTGAATACGAACCGTCGGAGATGCAAGTAGAGGACAAGTGGGAGACTTGCTGGCCATTGATGTACATAGCCAAGTCTGTAGTCCAAGTAAAAACAATGTGCGTCCATACATTTGGACCAAAGAGGATCGGATGACTACACTGTTTATTTTGAGTGGTTACCTGATGAAAGTAAGGCATTGAATAGTACGATTATCAAATTCAAATAATAGAGAAATAATTCTCACTCGCCGGTGTTATATGTATGTAGATTTGCTTTTGATTCTCTTCTAGTTTCAAGGGTTTTTCTCTGGGTTCTCTGGTTTTCCTCTCTGAAAGCCTAACACACTTAATTCAAATKCGTTCCTTTAGGTTCCCGTGCCATAACTTTGATCAGCCCAGAGKTTTTTTCAGGGTATGGATAACATTTGAAGACGTTCTCAACAATTAGACCTCTTTACTTGGGCGTAATGCTATTCCAGTTTAGACCACGTGTCATTCTTTTGAGAGTGAGATTCTTTGTTTGAGTTATATCCATATTCATGTGTCTTCTCGTGCGCAATTGTTAAAACAAAAAAATGATACTCTGGGGAATGACAAGTGGCCTGAAATGGGAAAACACTATGCCAAGGGTAAAGGGGTATCTTTGCATATAAACTACGAGCACAGACGTTTGTCTCATGTCATAGAGGTCAGCATACTTACCGTTATATTTAGTTTCTCATTGGCAGGATCAGTCAACRCGATGCTGATCCCAGTGCTGCTGCCTTTGCATGAGTCGCTACAGAAAAGATAGACTGGTTTTGATGATGTAGAATTAGAGTATTTTAACCAGATTGACACAGTAACGCCAGAATTGCAGCTTGTGGGATTCGTTAGGCACGCGTGTGTGCTGCCGATTGTCATATAGTCAGCTTCTGAGGTTGAAATAGCGGGTTTTCCAAGTCCTTTAGTTAATTTGGTAGTATTATTAACCTCACCCCAAGTAGGTCGTTTAAGGTTCTTTATGTTGAGGGGATCCTCCATGGGAAAAAAGTCGTACGCATCGCTTGTGAAGTTGTCGAGGAATATGCCTGTTGAAGTCGAGAAGAAATATGGTTTCTTTGAAGGGCTAGATAAGGAAGCACTAGTGGTGTGCGCTGCAAATGTGTCGCCCCTMACTGCATCCATGCGACCCGGTTTGATTCCCGCGCTCGGTGTCGTATTTGAGTAGAGTTCGGTGTTCATTCCCTACCGCGTGTTTCGAAGGGTTTTCTTCGAGTTCTCCGGTTTACTTCCTCCATAAAAATCAACCTCAAAATTATAATTCGATCTTTGGGCTTACATCTCTTATGGAGCTTAGGGCACGCGCGTCCACAGGAATCACAAAACACTCGCYCTTACTGAGTTTGGAGGAAAAGTGGGAACGCTCGCAGTCTAGCCGTTATATAACACCCTAAGCTAATAGAAAATTGACAGAAAGTGAAATGCAGAGTAAAATAAGCGGGATATATTAAGTTATTTATATTATTCAAGACGTTTCCACACACCTGAGCTACAAGACTCCAAAAATCTTGAAGATTTGTCGCAAGCGCATTTCCCTTGAATCTCATCACACGATGAAGCTTCGGGACATGTGGAAGAGCAGAATGTAGCTGTAAAGTAAAAAAAGCAGTTAGTTAGTGTACTCTTTATAAGAGAAAATCGACAGGGGGAACTRCTAAGACGTTGTCAAGACAAAGTATTTTCATTAGATAAATTTAGTATGACTTTGCGAGATGTGATTGGTTCAAATGATATTTACAATCCCGATACCGAGACCAAATCTTGTACGCCATTTCTGCGAATTCCACTCTGTATGTTATCTATTTTAGCGAGATGATTAAAACTATCTTAAAGTGCTGGTCTTACGAAAATGAAAATGACACAAAAAATCCCCGATTTTCTATATGCTCAAATAGCTTATAAAGTTCGCCAATAATTGGTTCGAAAAAGAAACTTTTTCCCGTCTGAATTCTATTTCCGAAAATTGGCAAAAGCTGGTCCGCCATTGAATTTTAATTYATGTGTGACGTCATACGCGGCACTGGTATCGCTTTTTCCCCACACTGACTATATATTATTCTCTGTAGTGTGGTACGTTGGTGATACCAATTCTTGGTATCAAAGGTCAAGTGTCTGTGTTGATTAAATTTGGTTGTAAATACACAGTGATAGAAGCCGCGAATTTTGAAACGTTGCGCATATGACGTCGCTTTCTTTGCATCACTAATAAGTCGCCAGGAACGCAATCGCATAGTGGCGGACTCAAATGGCCAAACTTTACCGGCTAAATACAACATCTTCCCTTCCCGGTCTCGTATCGAAATTGAATTTGGACAGTAAACTATATTATATGTCTAGTTTTATATGGTATAATTTCCAGGGATGTCGTCATTATTTAGTAAGACTAGCCATGCAAAATGTGATTGGTTACAGATAGCACCCCCAATCATCTACCGACCCAAATCTGGTAAGACACCATTTTGAATATTAAACAAATTGATTAGCAAGCTTCTAGTACTTCTACTTATAATCAAAAGCATAATAGCTCACAATAAAAGAGCTACATTTTTCCCACCCCCTTCTCCGGTTTCCACGATCTCCATATAACCTCCCTATACACCTCGTAAGAACGTACCTTGTGGGATGAGAATTTCAATGTCACTTGGTTCAAACGTCTCCTGACCATTAAGAAAGCTACCAGCAGTGGACCCATACGTTTGACCAAAAGTGCCCTTCACATTCTTTGACTCAAGATTCACCACCAGGTCCTTTCCAAAGTTGGGAAAGGATTGCTGATAGGACACGCAACTTAGCGCCACATGCGAAGCACTTGATTTGATGGCAAGTCGTGTATTTGATCCTGCGTTGCTCTTGAGGCTGAAGAGAAAGGCCTTGTTGCTGGGGATAGAGGTTTCACTGCACTTGCCATATTCTAGCAATAATTAGACAAATTTAATAGTGCATTAATGGACTACTTGGAGGATACCGCGGTCTTCTTGTATTGCAAGGCATTATGGGTCGACCAGGGGGCAAAACAAAACAAATATGGCAGAAATTATATAGAATTTCGTGTGTTTGTCTTTTTTTTTCTTCTGTAATAATGACCATATAAAAGTATCATTATCCCTCGCGAAACTAGCTCTATATTACCCCTTGGACGTCCAATAATGTCTCGCAATCCAAGATGGCCGCCGAATCGTTAAAAAGTATTATATTATGGTACTGAGTCTATTCAGGGGGAATTAATTATATATTCATATATGCATAACGGTAATGCTGGTTAGACAGATCTTTAGCACTCCTTGAATAGATTTATTTAATCAGAGTTTGGTTAGTCTCAATATTCTCTTGCTTTGTAAATTTTGCAAAAACTAACGGTGAATTAAAGAAGGCAGAATCGAGTTCTAATCAGTACTTGCAGTCATTACGGCAACAAGTTTAGCCTTGCTGAAGTGTCAAAATATTTACAAATAATACAGCCAAAATCAGTGATGCAGACATGAGATAAAACATAAAGCATTGGCTAGTGCAACAACACTTTTCAGTGCAACTGCAATATCATTTTTGTGCGAAAAGACCTACTTTAGCCACCTACACATCTACAGATTCCAAATTGTTTAATAATACTTTGTCTTTCTTTTACTTTTCGTTTGTAAATATATTTCTCGCGTTCTTGTTGTATTTCTATCATTATATCGTGTGTAAATAAAATAGGTGAGGTTAAAAAATATATCACGACACAAAGATTATTATTGAGATATTATAACAGTCAAAAACTAAAACTCGAAAATTGATAACTTACCCGACCAAGATTGGTCAAACACTCCACCGAAGACGTTATCTGAGTGTCGAATAATAGTTATAGTGGGCCCTCGATTTGCGCAGTTTTTGTGAAGAACGTTCGAAGTGATCCATCCTGTACGAGACAATCTATAACAAGTTTTCCATGAGCTGGGTAGTCCAGCAGATGCCAGCCATGTTTGAAGCGCTTGCATGTAGTCTCCGAGATGCCCGATAATGTTGGATCTTATTCCTAATACATCAAATACAAAAATAGAAAATTAAACGCTATACACTCGGAGATTTAGCTGTCGATTCAGATGTCCGTTAACATTTCTTTTTACAATCGTCAATCAAAACTACGAACTCTCTTACTTAGTGGCAGAGTACAATAATAATCACGACAGTTCAAATTACCGTCCCGTGAGAAACAATTGCAATGTTTTTGATTTTGGCTGGGTATGCGTTAAAAAAGCAACCATTTCATAACTGTAAAACTAAATTTATATAATAGATTTTCACGAACGCGCGCTCTGATTGGCTGAAGAGCTATGTTTTATCAGAGTATAGAAACATAGATATGACGTCAAAACCATGTTTTCTATACAAAATTAAACATAGAAATGACGTCACAGGAATTCGGTTTTCAATTTAAAGCATTTTGACATTTTAAATTTAAGTTATTTATTTATTTTTATTAAAAATATGTCTTTCCTCTAAAAAAGGAAAATACGTCGTTTTGAAGCACATTTGATTCGTACTACATTTCGACGAGTAAARCTTTCTTTCGCTTGTGCTGCAACTATTACAAATACCTTATTTCGCTAAACTAGAACATTCTTTTTGCTTGACCCTTGATGGTGTTAGAGAAGTCAAAAAAATGATTTTAAACATTTTTCATAGTATAAGAATGAACAAATCTGTGGTAAGAAACTCAAGCTTACTTTACAAACGAGCATCGGCAATTTTACGCTTCCGTTACGGTAAAGTTYTTACCGAAATTTGTTTTCCAATAGCCCGAAACTATGAATACAAAATACTACGACAAGTGGCACAAAGTTCTCACTTACAGTTCAGGATCAACTAAAAAACAGTTTTCCAAGTACTGCACTGCTAGCTTTCTTCCAGTTTCGATCGAAGATCAAGATATTTTTCAGTCTCTCGACTCCTTGTACATTCAAAGTGTTCATAGGCTGGTTTTCTTGAGTGTTTGCACAGGTTAAATGTTCATTTAACGAACTGAACATTGAAAATGTTTTTCAAACACTTCAGTACTTAAATTTTCTTTTTTCCTAGCAGCTAAATGCTTGTTTTCTTTGACTTTTTTTAAGATTTACGAGCACATTCTCCTTTCCTGTTGAACAAATGCGATAAACCATTTGTATGCTAGCCTGCATAGAGCTGTCATTACCTGTCAAAACTGGACCAATCAGATAGCCATGTGTCGAGTTTTTAGCCAATCATCGTATAGATCAAATTTGTTTACGTGATTTTGACGACAGACGCGCGCTCTATTTGTAAACAAACCTTTTATTTTGTAATTTTACGCTATTTTTCTCGTAAAAAATCTATTATATAAAGCGAATAGATCAGGCTTAGCTATGTTCTGTTCTCTGATAAAACACTCCTGAAGCTGTAGAACACTCAAAAAGTTATAGAAATCACTCGCCTACRGCTCGTGATTTCTATAACTTTTTTCGTGTCCTACAGCTCCAGTCGTGTCTTATCAGAAAAAAGAACATAGCTAAGCCTGATCTATTTGTTAGATCCTTGTCGATACACTTAGGTTACTAGTATTAAAACGGGTGCAACTGGTTTCAGTCTTCAAATTTCTCTGTTTTGTAAATAGTTTGTACGATTTGTTCGCATGCGCATTAATCTGGTTTAACCTCAAGCCTGAATACGCATTAAAGCAGCAGCGCGAAAACAAAAGCCACCGCGCGTCTACCTCTACAATGTTTGCGCACAATTTTGCACCGTATAAGTGTTTGAGGCCTAACGGAGCGTGCTCCGAAAGGAGATTGGTTCAAGGCTGGACTGTTTTATAAAATTTCTTGCCTGTTACAGCGATGTAGTTTTTGCCTGTCCCCCCTTCACAAGAATYTGTAGTTGTCAAGGCAACATTACCAATCGATAAATCCCCAAGGTAGCCATCACCGACAATACCCTCAAAAATGACCTGTGGGAAAAGATTTCACTATCATTAGATCCACGTAATGATTATTTACAGCTGAATAAACGAGTCTTAGGGCACTTTCGAACCGATCGGTCTTAAATRGTATGCGTCAGTTCTTAAAACTGGACCAACGCGGCCCGAACCAGTTTTAGGAACTGACGCTAACCACTTGAGGACCAGCCGTTAGAACAAATTGGTTTGACCAAGAGAAAATGAACTAAGAGAAGGAATCCCCCCTATACAGCCTTGTAACCATCATGTGCACAGTTTGATGCTATTTTAAAACCATTTTACTTTTCTTTACTATTGATATTTGTGAATTTTTGTCTGCTATCAAGGAACACATTAGTAAAATGTTAGTAAAAATGCTAAGATACAAATGACCTGTTACTAATTTAAACGGGAGAATGCRAAACTGAAGAATAATATTAAAGAAACATATTTACCTTTGTTTTTTCTGTATTATTCAAGGGTATGTAAACCGATCTCCACTCATTTGTGCCCTGATCTCCAGCTAGTGACCATACAAGTGATTCGTGGCTGTTGCCTTTAAGTAAGTATACATTGAGCCTCCCGATATCCTTACCGTAGAAATTATATTGAAAGTAAAGACAGTTGATTGTGACGGGAACGTACTCAGACGTGAGTAAACGAACATTTTGGCCTTTTTTCTGCGGGTAAGATGATTCGATGTACGAAATTTCTATTTAAAAAAACMCAACATGTAATCAATTTATTTCACAAATTACGCGACCAAGACAACGTAAGAGTTAGTTATAATAGACCTTTTTAGCTTCGTTGTTTGTTGTGTACTTTCAGACCATGTTGATACTTTCATGTGGGGGGGGGGGGGGGGGGGGGGGGGGGGGGGGGGGGGGGGAGGGAAGGGGTTTAGTCCCTCCTTCCCCCATGCACTTATATTGTATACTCAAAGGAAAAAGAAAAAAGAGATCACTGGAATCCCAAGACCCCCTGCCTATTTGCCTCCAACACTTTAGTTGCCAACGACTGCAATCTTGGACAAAATCTTGCAAAATGCCTCAAAAAACCCCGCTTATCATAACCAATGATGCCTTGCAGGGTGTGGAGGTCACAACTTTGTCTGGGTAAGGGAGATTTTGGCGTAAAAGTGTATCGTTTCRATTTAAATATATATATATAAAAGGGTGAAAGAGTTTTGTGGTTCCGGAATACTTAGTCGTAGCTAGGTCAATATTTGGCTTACCTCTTTTGCATAGACCATCTCGGGCCATCGATACTGGAGGTTCAAACTTGCTGAGGAGGACTTCCCAGACAATGAGATTCCCAGCTATCATGGAGCAACCATTTGATACTAGTGAGATTTCCGACGCGCTAAGATGACGATCCCAGAGCTTGAAATTACTTAAAAGTCCATCAAACGTCTTGGTCGTATAAAGTCCTATAAGAACTGTAATGGGAGGACCAGCCATACTTTGACATGATGATGTGTAAGAATTATCGGACGTGGACCGACCATTCAAGTAAAGTTGTTTATGGCAACCAGTCTTTTGTTCGAAGGTGTGTTTTAGGCAGAAGTGCTGCCACCTGTAAAGGTAAAATAACCTATTATTAGCTTCTTAATATTCTATCAATACGGGCAAATAAAGCGAGCAACTTTCGTGCAACACTACTGCAAAATAAAACAAACTATTGCGGGAGTAAATTTGTAGTTGTACTTTAGCCGTATCGTATCCTACCGTTACCATAACTACTCGCTGTGATTGGATGAATATAGGCTACTCGTACCGCCCCTAAATAAGGCGAGTACAATTTCTGGTAAAGCCTGTCACGCAAGGCCGTTACAGAAAATAGTTTTCCYTCATAACAAAACTCTGATACTGAGATTACTCAAATTATAATGGTCATGCACTTGTCTATCTTACCTAGGTCTACCTAAGACCCGAGGGAAATTGTAGCTATTTTATTTATTTGAAGYAGGTTACATGTGCTTCTAGTTTGGCAAGGAAAACCTGAAGCTCATATTCAAGTATTTCACTGACTGAATAGGTTTAAAGCCACTTACGTGGTTGTAGCTGCAGCACCAACATCCAATTGAATTCCTGAGGAACTTCGAATTGCAAACAAATACTTGGATACAGCTGAGTCATGGCGGAACCACCAACAGGCGGTAAACACGTTTAGACTTGGAAGGTTTAATTTAACCGTTGCAAAGCATGACTGAGATGCAATATTAATATAATTGTCACTTGAAAACCATCTTGCGGGACCTGAAAGAAACAAAAGAATCAATAAAGTTGATAAACGCTGCATAACGAGAAACTACAAAAATATTGGAAAAATAACAAAAATCACCACTGAAATTCTCTACCACTCCTCAGATACCCCCTATGTCCTCTGGCACCCCTCAGATACCATCCTCTACAACCCCTTCGTTATCATTGGCATCCTCTGCCACTCTTCCGTAATCACTGGTATCCTCTACCAACCCTCAGATGCCACTAAAATGTTCTACCACCTCTTAGATACCATTCGCATCCTCTACCACCCCCTCAGTTACCACTGGCGTCCGCTACCACTCCTCCATCATCACTGGCATCCACTACCACCTCTCAGATATCACGGGCATTTTCTAACAACCTTCAGATACCACTGGCATCCTCTACCACCCCTCTGTTATCACTGGCATCTTTTACCACCCATAACATACCACTGGCATCATCTACTACCTCTCAGTTACCACTGGCATCCTCTCCCACCCATCAGATAACACTAGCATTCTCTACCATTCCTAAGATACCAATGGCATCTTCTGTCACCCCTCAGATATCACTGGCATCCACTACTAACCATCAGATACCACTTGCATTCAACCGGAAGGTAGAACTTACTGATAACGGTATTTGGCCCTGTCAGTGGTGTTGGTGTTCCGGAAACTGTTCGATTCCAACTAAAGCTATTGCTTGCATCGTCAGTCAATGGAGCACAAGCTAAAAGATGTATAAAAAAAATCATAGTATTCCTAACTTTCTAATCAAATTTTTGAGCTTTTTGAATATAGCAGTGGGGAGTGGTATGTAAGGGTGGATAGATGTATAGATAGATGTAAGGGTGGATGGATGGTTATTAGATGGAGGATGGATAGTAGATGTATAGATAGTTCGAAGGTTGAGTGGCACGGGTTGGTCGGATAAATGGATGGATAGAATAACGTATTAAAAGAGGCATGGATGGATGGATGGATGGATGGATG